TCCCAATAGGATAAATGCCTTTTTAATCTGCCCTTCAAAATAGGAGGACTGTCATTTTGTTCATATTCAAATATCTCATCATTATCAACTAACATTATTCCTTCGTTCATGTCGGGAACGATTTCAAATTAATCTAGAGTCACACATTACTATCAAGTATCAAGATCATTGATTACCTCCTACAGTACGGTTGTTCATATTAGTGGCCGTTGTAGTGTTTTTGGTTGAATATTTTCTGCAATCGACTCTCCAGTGTCCTTGTAACCCACATGCGAAACAAATGTCGTTAGGCCCTGCTCTTCTTGTCAGACCTCTGGAGAATTGGGCTGATCTAGTGAAAGGAATAGCCGACGAATACTGGTTTGGCTGTTGAGGTGGCTGGCTCGATGTCTGATTGCTGGGATGTTGGTGAGTCAAAGTATAAGGCTGCGATCTTGGTCTGAAGTTTCTATTTCTTTGTTTAAGTAGATTTTTCTTTTTAATGGCCGCTTGTTCTGCCCTCCTTATCTTCTTCTCGTCCTCGCTCCCACTAGCTAACTCATCTGACAAATACTCATTGACCAAGTCCCATACTGCTGGCGATTTATCGGCAAGACGTATCAGCTTATTTCTCTTCTTGATCTCTTTTGCCAACTTATCCAGGGAACTRTCGGCTAGGCGATATTTCTTCTTCGCAAGCGCTTTCTTGGCGGTGTCGACGATCTCGCTTAAGGAAGCGTTAAATCTGTGCTGCTGCTTGTTCCCTTCGTATTTGAATGTGATTTCAGTTGTCTCTTTGAACTTTTTCGCTACTGATTCGGTAGTAGATATTGCTTCGTCTTTAAGATCTTCTTTAAGGGACGAAAGTTTCTTGTCTAGGTAATCTCTGAACAGCGAGAAGGAATCTGCGATGTCACCGCTTACAGTATTCTCGGTTGGATAAACTGTTGTGCCTGGGTTCTCTGTCACCACGGGTTGAAGTAAAGCCTCCGATTGCAGTCGAAAAGGTGTTGGATCGTCTCTTAACTCATCCTCTGACCGAAGAAGGTTTACGGTTTGTTCGTCTGAAGCGCTTTTGAGCATAATCGACACAGCACGCACGACGCTAGAGAACGTTGGACGCGAATGGAAAATTGTGCAATCCTATTGCCTATTTATATTAGAGTCTAACCACTGATCCATAAATCCCCTTGGGCATTTACTCCCCTTAACTATGCGCTAGTTAAGTAAACAATGTTAAATACATTTTACATGTCCTAGTCTACAACTTGACGGCTGACGAAATTTACATAACTTAATCATAATATACTAAACGATTCAATGAAACGCACGGACGATTTACGTAACAATGCATTACGCAAGCTAAAGGGAAAAAAACATTGTCACTACATTTACACTAGATGTACAACTAGAAGGGTTTGCGATCATAGCTGGCTTGTCTGCTCGTTTTTCATGGCCATTGCCGTTGATCTTCTTATCATCATAATTCAGCATATTAACCTTGATTCTAACACCCAGACGAGTAATAAGTGCCACATTTTAGACGTAAACTCATGTTCTAATGCATATTCGCTAATAGAGACAATACTCATCAAAATGGTTGATGAAACAGTAATGTGCAGTACGAGGTAAAAATGTGAGTGAAAGGGATTATGGGTAGGCTATAGCGTTCGGAATATAAAGCGTTATGTGATGGGCTACCGGATATATAATTCAAAATGTGATTGGCTACGAAGATGTACCGAAGCCAAACTTTCGAAATTGTGAAGAAAAAAACTGTCTAACCAAGAAAGTAGCAKCATTTTACTACACGTCCCCTGCATAGCCGTGTAATGCAATGCTCTCTTCGTACAATACAATACAATACAATACAATGCAATACAATACAATGCAATGCAATGGAATGCAATACAAATATATGAACACTATACCAATACAAATATAAAAGCAGTATAAAGCGAGATACAAAACGAAAAATATAACAAAATAGGCATCTAGAAAGGAAGTTAAGAGGTTAGCCCTATGTGGAGACTCCCTTGAAAAACGACAGACATATAAACAAGCTAAATATATATACATTTAAAGATAAGAGAAGAATAAGATGGTCAAAAAAAGAAGACTATATGAGGCCGAGATGATTTGATAATTTGGATTTAAAAAGAGTGAGACTGCCTGCTTGAACTACGTAATTAGGGAGGTTATTCCAAAACTTGACAATATTAATGAAAAAAGAGTATTTGAACGGATTTACTTTGGCTGCTTTAAGGTAGTTTATATGGATGATTAGTTCTTGTTATTTTACATTTGGTATATTCAAAGAAGTCCTCAAATTTGAGGTGACTTAGGTTAAAAACAATTTTGTAACATTCTACTAGGATTAAGTAATTTCTTCTTGTTGAGAGACTTGGCCAGCCTAGTAATTTGCATCAGTCTTCATATGACATGTCCCCCCTTTTCTGTCGAAGAGCAAGTCTCTACGCTGGACTTTCTCCAGGACGTGAATGTCTTTTGCGAGGTATGGGTTCCAGACCGGTGCCGCATATTCAAGAATTGCTCGTACCAGAAATATATATGCATAGAAAAATATCCTTTTTGGCCGTACCAACGGAGCGTTTGATAACGCCTAAAACTTTTTTGGCTTTACCGACTGTAATTGGTCCCGGCAAACAGTAATACCCAGGTATTTAAAGCTTGCAGTGTCTTTGAGTTGAGTGGATCCGATTGTATAGTTAGTTGACGACTTATCTTTATTGTGGGTAATTCTCATATTATCATATTTATCTGCATTGAATCTAAGTTGCCATGTTTCTGCCCAGAGATTTAGGCGGTTTTAAGTCCAACTGCAGTGCTGGTACATCGACCCCCGGCTGAATAATACTTCTGTACACCTTGGTATCATCGGCGTAGAGTTTAATGACAGATGAGATATTATCGGAAATATCGTTAATATAAACTAAAAACAAAATTGGGCCAAGGATTGTGCGACTTGGGGCGTCCCAGACGTGACAGGAGACCACTCTGAAAAGGTGCCCCGGACATTGACTCGTTGTTTGCGACCGGTGATAAAATGTCTAAACCAATTCAAGAGGTGACCACCAATTCMGTTTGCATACAGTTTTAAAAGCAGTCTTTCGTGGGCGACTCTGTCGAAGGCTTTAGCTAGATCTTGAAACARAATATCAGTTTGGACGCGGCGACCCCTGGCTTTAGCCCAGTCATGAAACGTACTTTTAAAAGAGTTGTGCGACAGTCGATCTGCCTTCAAGAAATCCAAATTGGTTGTCGCTGAACAGTTTGATGTCATGTCAGAACTTTAAAATCCTGTTACCGACAATTTTTTCACCAATTTTACATACAATGCTGGTGAGGGAGATTGGGCAATAGTTTTCTCTGCAGTGCTTGRATCCCTTAAAGATGGGTGTTACATTAGCCACTTTCCATTCAGTAGGTAGAGTCCCAGTGAGAAACGACATCTTGAGTATAGCAGTTATTGAGGGAGCGAGTTCTGAAGCACAGATTATTTTAATTAAGAGCATTGAGGAGTTTTAACACTTCAGATGTATGACAGTTAATGTCTTTCAATTTGGAGGTGGTTGAACTATGGAGCAGTGGAAAATTATCATAATCTTCTACTGTAAACACTGACGAGAAATATGAGTTCATACTGCTAGCAATACTGTAGTCGTCGGTTAAAACAGAGTTTCCGACATTCAGTGTAACAAGATTATTTGTTCCTCTGCGCTTGGATTTAACATAGTTCCAGAATCAATGGCTTTGGATTTTCTTTCAGTTCTTGCGATAACTTGTTTACATGCTCCCATCTGGCAATATTGCATTCGTGTTTGATTGTATTGTTTAGCTGACGATATTTCAACCAGACTCGATCATCTTGGGTTGTTTGGGTCTTTTTCTTTTTGCACAGACGTAATAATTCTGATGTTATCCAGGGAGCGTTCGCTCTTCTCTTCGATTTCTTTTTGGGGATAAACTCCTTTCTACGGCGCTCATCAATAGATCTTTCCATGAATTCCAGACCTCATCAATGTTGTTTGCAAGAAAAGCACAATGCCGAGGGATGTACGAGAGGGTAGATTTTAATTCCTTCCAATCTGCATTTTTGAAACTGAACACAGACTTTTGTGACTTTAACTGTATGTAGGGTTGGCCAGTGAAATTGCTTCTCCAACAACAACGTTCTTTACAATGTCAGGCGAAGACGTGAGGACCAAATCTAGTATATTTTTCTTCCTTGTTGGTTTACTCGTAAGCTGGGTTAAGAAATTATCTTGGATGATGTCCATTATGATATTGTAGTCTTCGGACGCGCATAGAGCGCGACCGGTTGCCCAGTCAAATTGAGGCGCATTAAAGTCCACTCATGACTGATCTCGACCGCCATTTTTTCCATCTCAATTTGTAGCGTAAAATATGTTCTCCTAGCAAAAAGTCCACTTCTTTTGCAAAACTCTTTGATAGAACATCATCATTTCGTTTTTTTTTTATCTGTTCAAAGTCACTTCAGACTTCTCAACAGCCCTCTTTTGAATACCCGGTACAGCAAACGTCTATGTACGATCGAAATGCATCATGGGAAGACAGACAATTTGGACATAAATCGTGCAGCATTCTTGTTTTAAGAATTGTTTTATAAGAGTAGGCTCCACCGCATCGTCCGATTGCATTTTTTGGATATCAAATATTGTCAAAATTACCTTGGTAGGTTCTGCCCTAGAAGGACCGGGAAAACGATCTTACTCTGATATCTCCAGTTCAAAACAAACCGTGACTTGGAGCCATTGTCTTCGAAAAATCGCTTTCCACCTCTGACTTTTTCCAGAGGATTGTCTCTGCCGACTAGTCAATCTTAAGGCCTTAAGTTAAGCCTACGGGCTCCTGTGGCAGCAAAAAGCTAAAAAAAAACATTTATAAAGGTTTTTTAGGTGAATTTAGGCTCAACCACTCTCTATAACTAAACGGTCTGACTTAAATTTACAAGGCGTTGCATAAATTAACGCTCCCTGGGGAATTCAAATCCGAAATAGTTTAATTGACAGCAACTTATATGGAAGTCAATTATTCTATCAACCTGTTAGGATCGAAATAGCTCAAAAATCAATAAATCAACACCCACCGAAAAAGAGTTAAGCGCCGTATTAGTGCATCAGCGTTCAATGGTCGGGAAAAATAATGAACGAGAACGCTGCAATATCATCTGTTTATTATTGAAATGACTTGAAAATAATATTTTTGAGTTTTTTAATTGACCCTTGTTCTATATGACGTCACAATGACGTCATAGATATCAGGTAATTTGTATAAATTATATATCTATATCTAGATAACCAGTTAAAAATCATATTTACTGCGTTACTGCTCTCCTGTGATGTGTTTCGTATTTTATCCACAGTAACAGTGACGTCATAATTGTGATGACGTTGTCTTTGTCGTCTTGGAATAATTTGACTCCAAATCTCACTTTTTTGTCTACATCGTTATTTTATGGTAAAATTTACAATTTGAGTAGTTTTTGAAGTTAAACAATTTGGGACAAGCAATTTTGAGAAGAATATCCGCCATCTTAGGATCCGCCATCTTGAATTTTCTAAATTGTCATTAAAAAGCTAAGCATTGAGGCAAACAGCTCAAAATGTCTTAAATACTTCTCAAACTAACATTTAATGAATAAAAAAGTGAGTTTCGAAGTGCTACTGATGATTTTAATGAAATTTTCTCCCATGTGAAAAAAATGACTGGAAACTACCCACCCCTCCCCCCAAAGTTTTTTTTTTTGTCAAAAAAGTATTATGGTGTTGTAGAGTCAACAATGGGAGCAAGCTCAAATAGGTAAAAGATGCATAATAAAACAAGAAATAAGCTTTAAAAATGAAAAATTAAGCATATTTTACATTTTTGAAAACCTATGTGTCACAACCTGGTTGCCATGGCGAAATAGATGACGTTATCAACAAATCATTTAAATCAAAATCTGCCCAGATAAAGTTTAGGAAAAGTCCGGAAGTTTCAGAGCTGTAGCTGTCTTGGTTCGAAAGTTATTGGCTTTTTACGTGAGGGGAGATCAGAAACCTATAAGGGACTTGAAACGTGTAACGCCCGTACATTTCTTTAGTCGGAATATTCAAAGCTCATTAAAAATTCGAAAACGAACGTTATGACCATGTTCGGAAAATTTGGCCGTTGGGTAAGAGATTGAAGGCCCGTTTTACTTGGCTATAGGATAAATTTAATTGTTCCAAATAAGGTCAAATAAGGAAATGAGATGCAAGTTAGATTTGAATATTCCAACGGTTGGCACGGCGTTACACGTTTCAAGTCCCTCATAGGTTTCTGGACAGATATATACATACAGATAGATAGGCAGATATATTATGATTATCGCAATAATAATTAAATTGTTAGAGATAGTGACTTTTGTAATGATTAATCAGAATCATTGCTACAAGCTGATTTCTTATGGTCACATGGCCACACTCGTCGGGCAAATTATATGAATGACCGTTATTGTACTGCGAAATATGCTTTTTTCGTAATGTGTATCGTTTTCTAATAGGACACGAATTGGAAGTGTCAATAATCAAATATAATAATTGGGCAACAAGACTTTTATTCGTCATACTTATTAAATAATCTCATTCAAAAATTATAAAAGTAAGAAATTCACTTCTTCATCGGTTTACGAGCAGGCAGGAATAATCATCTCACTTTGCAAGCCGTGAAAACAAACAAATAAACATACCCTTGAGAAATCTAGATGCATCTTCCCTTTCTTTCGTCAAAGTCTTAACAAATAGAAAAATCCTTTCTGCCTTTTTCRTTTGATTAATCCAGATATAATCCTCGGCCAGTCTTAACATCACCTTGATAAGGGGCAATGAGAACTTTTTTCTTTTCTTTTTTGAAATTTTTCTTTTTTTAAAGTTGTTCTGCGAGATTTCACCATTTGAACCAGCAGCAACTTCACCTAAATTAATAGTCAGGAAAATACATGTGATTAATGATATGATCATATAATTAATGTTTACTGGAGATAATGATGGAGAAACAAAGAGGTAAAAAGCAAAAGTCAAGACCAAGAAGATGGTTTTCTTTGTTTGTGTTTTTATCTTCTAAAGATAAGCTTATTTTTGATCGTATTTTTATTTTTATCTTATCGTTCCATGGCGTTTATCCCTTCGCTTTCCCGCCTGACACCAAGCGAAGAGATAAAGGCCTGGGAACGAGGTTGTTATGTATACTGTTCAATAATTGAGCAGGATATCTCAAAATAAGCCATTAACAGAAATATTGCCCATTTTGCGCCCGCGATGATTTTGCAGCGGTAGCTACCATTGCAAAAACAAAATGGCTAGAGAGCTTTCCTTCTCAGCTGTTAGATCTACTTTTCTCTCAACTCTTCCACTTCATCGACTTTTCACTTCTTGCTTTCTTCAGTCGACTAGCTTGCACAGATTCCTGCGATTAGGTTTCATTACTTATATACGAGACCGATGAAGATTTCGCAATAAAAGTTTTCCATTCCCAGAGAGCTGACCAAGATATCTCAATATAAAATAGAAACTCGTATCTTTGGGTTTAATTTTCAGAACTTTAACTGATATAAGTCAAAGGAAAGTCAGAATGTGTCTTATAAGCTTCCAATCAAATACACCTAATTGAAAAAACGTAGTCGTGTTCGAAAAGGTCACATCATTGAAGCTAAGACAGAAAGGGATTTTGAGTACCACTAAATTGGGATTACATTTGCATATACGGTGTACCGTAAAGCAGGTAGAGCTAGTAAGATTAACAGTATGCTAGTCTTTTATGCTAGAGAGCTGTTTGTTATGAAATTAGCCAAATTGTTTGTCTTCCCAAGTATCCTTTCGGTCTTAGCTTCTATGATTTGACCTTGTTGGGCCCGACAAAGTTTCTTCAATTAGGTGTATTTTCTTACGGTATTCAATGAGAAATTCAGACATTTTACTTCAACTTTTGGCGCAAAAATACTGTGCTTTATTATTCTGAAAAGACCTGAGGACAATAAAAGCATTCCCAGAGGGTATTGGGGACCTCAAAGAAGGAAAACATTTTTTCCTCTTGGACATTCCCAACACAAGATATGGCTTTCGAACTTCATGAATCCCTATAACTGCAATCTATTCATGCTTCGGGAACCTATTTAAAGGGATTTTTTGGAGGTTTTTGGAGCAGAATTGACGAATGTTGACATTAAATTGGACGTATCGATGTGCGACCCGAGTGTTTATCAACTATTTGAACTCTTTTTTTCGACTTCAAATCACAAAGGTAAATAGCATGTAGAGAATGTATGCAAATTTGGTCGCTGAGTATGTACAAAACTAAAAACGCTCAGGAACCTCGAGATGATACGCATTTACTTTAATATATTATGTAAAGGACATGCGATATATTCACGAAGAGTGATCGAAGTGCGATTTGAGAAAACATTTATCTTAAAATGATATTTTGGCGAAAATGTGTTATCTCCCATACATTTCTTTAGGAAATTTATCTGCCATTATTGTACTTATTATGCCATTTTGGGCGATATTTCTGCTAATGTTTGAGATAAATGGGGGAACTGATCATGCGCGAAACATCAAGCTTAACAAAGCACTATTGTCTTCCCACATTGAATATCAATAAAATAAAATACAAGCTCTAATGGCTGTTTCACTGCAAACGGTTTACATCCTGCATCGATGAATGATCAGGTATCAAAGCTGAGACCTTTGCTAGGGTCCTGGGCCTTTATATCTGATAAAGATAATCCTTATTAGTATACTAATAAGAAAGAAAGAATACTAATAAGGAGTTAATATCGGATATGAAGGTCCATGCATGTGACCAAATAGGCTCATTCTGTTGGCCTAATACAGTACTTACCCGCTTATAAGGACCCATTTTTTCAAATATAGCCAGATTTATTTATACCAAATTTAGAAGTGTATGTACATATTTAAGTTCATATTAGTCATGTTTTTTTTTTTCATGAAGATTTTCGAGATTATTTTCTGTAAGATCCTTTCTATAAGGACCTGTTTCAAATTTTAGGCTAAATAGGATCTTATGCAAATGGCGTCTCAATTGATATTTTTAGGCTAACAGTTCCTTAAATTGCAGATTCTTATAAGCGGGTAGATACTGTAACTCATTCATTTTGTATGTGTTTTAGAGAATCTAGCAAAATGCATGGGAGTCAGTGTTGCTAATCATACACTATCCGGGCGAAAGACCCTTGGAAGTAAATTCGGAAAAAATAATTTAACGACATCGCTGGAATTCGAACCCACATGAAATCATGGGATCTATACAACTAAATATCTATTAACTCTAAATCAATAAGTTTTGTCTTGTTCTTTTTCCTATTCTTATTTCGTTTCCACAACTTTGACCTAATTTCTTCGTCATTTCTTTTGCTCTCGGTTTAAGCCTATACCCTATGTCCTAGTGGAAACCATGCTTTCCTACCCACTTACAACATATATAAAGTACGTTAATGCACAATAAAACACCAACTTGTAGCTATGTATCATATTAAATTGGTAAATGCTTAACTCATTCCGTTCTTTCCATCTCTTCCTTTTGGCCCGTYTTTATATTCGATTTTGCCTTGGTATTCACAAGCAGTGGAATGATATCCCCATCGTCCCGTTTTCACTATTTCAGTACATTTTACTCCTACACCTGCTTTTCCGCCAGAACCACCTGAAAGTTCATAAGTTATATACATTAATAATGAAGAAATAATAATGCAAAAAAAAAACAACAACAACTCAACACCACATGACATAACAAAAACGCTCATTTTTAAAGAAACGTGCGCACTGAAAATTTATTTTTTTAAATAATAATAATAATCTTTATTGAAAAATATCTCTAAAATGTAAATTTACAATTTTCAAATATATTTTGATTATAATTTAATTTTTAATTTTATAATATAATTTAAAAATCTCTATAATTAATAAATATATTCCGAAAAATATAAACAAGAAAAACAGGCTCAAAATATAAGAAAGATTAAAAATTATCTATATATAAATGTGTAAAAATATTTATGAAATGGCTGACTGCAAGTTTTCTGCATCAAAGTCTACATTAATATGGCCAGCTTTTGGTCTTCTAATTGTTCGTTATCCCCTTAGGCAGATTAGGGCAGATCTCAATAAAGCAAATGATGTTTTGGCCCTTATCCATGAGATAGTATTTGAATAATTCCCTCCTTTCTTGTTGGCAATAAGTTCTGCAAGACGACTGTGGTATCTTAGACATTCAGGTCCCATCCCACCAGTAGAGGTGAACACAAGAGGTGTGAAAGTACCTTGTTTAATATCCAGTACACGTCTAGAGTAGCATCGTTTCTTTTCATTCGCATGTAAACGGTAGATCTGTTTTGGTTCCATCTCTTTGTATGAATCAGCATTGGCATGGTAGACATGAATGTCGAAGAAAGCAGATTGTTGTTTTCCCCAAAAGCCACGAGCGTGAATATCAAGTTGAGTTTCCTTAGCCAAGTTGGATCCACTACTTAATTTCGACATCGTTACACACCATGCTTAAAAGATCAGCTTCTAGGTCACGGAGCTCGTTGAGGGACTGTATAATAAATCCACCCTTTTTACATATCATTGAGTGGTCGACGGTGAAGATATCTCCACAGACACATTTACCAGGAATGTCATCGATTGGCCAGTCGTAYCGTAGTTTGATTGCATCACGGAACTCTCTCTTGTTGAGATTGAATCCCAATTCTTGGAGGGGAATGTTAACCAAGCAGAGGAACCATTTTCGGATCCAGTGCTCTCTTTAAATTATTAGGTGCCTTCTCATAAACGCTTTTAACTTTGCCTTTGACGTCTTCTTCTTTCTTGTGTCTGGAAAATTTGTTTTGCCACTTTCGCAGTTGAGTCATCTGGCAATTGAGGTTGTTGATATACGGTTTGCTCCACGAGTGGTGCAGTTGTTTCTACCGAAGAGGTGAATTCTCTTGCTGTCTCTGCTTGAGAATTTCCAAGCCAAGACCACCACATCGAACCGGTAAGGATAAGACATCTCTTTCTAGTTGATTACATATGTGCCCAGTTAAGTTTGGTATAAGAATTTGGCTTATAGCTCTTTCCATAGGTTCCAAAACCATATGGTGCTTGTTATATCCTTCGCTGTCGTCCATTCTTCTCTTGGTACGGCGTCTAACGTTCTTACGKYCGCCGCGCTTTATAATGTTAAGTCCTCTAGTTCTGGCGTTCTGGCCTACCACCGTGCTAGCTGAACGACTTTCTATCATACTGCGGTAGCGCACAAATGTCGTACTAGAGTACTGGCGTACTAGCGTTCTATTGTCAGCAATAGCATACTAGAGTACTATCGTTCCCTATTTCTAATGTTCTTCCTTACTAAGCGTTCTATCGCACTAGTGCACGCGAGCGTTATGTCTTACTAGCGTATCAGCGGACTAGTATATTAACCCTCTACCGTTCCAGGGTACTGAAGTAGAACTAGCGTACTAGTGTACTGTCGTATTAGCATACCGGCGTAATATCCTACTAGTGTACTTGCGTACTAGCGTACTAGCATACCAGCGTAATATCCTACTAGTGTACTATCGTACTGGCGTACTAGCGTACCAGTGTACTATCGTACCAGTGTACTATCGTACTGGCGTACTAGCGTATCAGTGTACTATCGTACCAGTGTACTATCGTACTAGCGTACTAGCGTACCAGTGTACTATCGTACCACTGTACTATTGTACTAGCGTACTAGCGTATCAGTGTACTATCGTACCAGTGTACTATCGTACTGGCCTACTAGCATACCAGTGTACTATCGTACCAGTGTACTATCGTACTAGCGTACTAGCGTACCAGTGTACTATCGTACCAGTGTACTATTGTACTAGCGTACTAGCATACCAGTGTACTATCGTACCAGTGTACTATCGTACTAGCGTACTAGCGTACCAGTGTACTATCGTACCA